TTTTTTTGTTTTTGAAGAGAGAGAGAGAGAGAGAGAGAGAGAGAGAGAGAGAGAGAGAGAGAGAGAGAGAGAGAGAGAGAGAGAGAGAGAGACAGAGAGAGAGGTGGTGGACTTGGCAATGTGGTGTTTATACGAGCAAGGTCCTGTGTGTGCTACCTGTGACCCGAATTGTTGTCAGGGGTGTTGATTCCGTACGTGAACGCGTCGGCGGCGAAGCAGGCGGTCGGGATCGTGGGCGCGGTGATCATGCCTCACAACATTTTCCTGCACAGCGCGTTGGTTCAATCTCGGAAAATTTCTCATCGCACCCCAGCTCGCTTGAAGGAAGTCCTACAATACTACTCCATTGAGAGCACCGGCGCGCTTTCCATCTCCTTTCTGATCAATCTGGCCGTCACGTGTATTTTCGCCAGAGTGTTCTCTGGGAGGGAAGACGCAGCGTCCGTGGGTCTTGTGAATGCGGGGGAGAAGCTCGCGCAGGAATTTCCTTCAATGGGTTCGTCCTTCCTGCTCATTTGGGCAATCGGGCTTTTGTCGGCCGGGCAGAGCTCGACGATGACGGGCACGTACGCGGGCCAGTTTGTGATGGCAGGCTTCCTTGATCTGCCGATCAGCCGGTTGAAAAGGGCTCTCTTGACACGTGCGGTGGCGATTGGACCGACGCTTGCAGTGGCTGTGTGGTGCCATTCCTCCCCGGGCGACCTGGACGTCATCAGCGCCTGGTTGAATGTTCTGCAGGCGTTCCAATTACCCTTCGCTATTGTGCCGCTCCTCAAGCTCTCATCCTGCAAACGGCTCATGGGAGAATTCAGACTGAGGTCGTCGCTACAGGTAAGACGACGAATTTTTATGTCATCATGAATATGAATAATGATATAAAATGTCATCATGAATATGAATAATGATATAAAAATCATATAACTTAAAAACTAGTAATACCTAGGCTACCAGCCGGGCCGCCCGGGTCGCCTTGTTTGCCCGGGCGACCCGGCCGTGCAAGGGCCAAAGAGGGTCCCAGCCCCCAAAAAAAAAAAAAACGTAACTATGTTATGCAGAAAAATAAACTGAACAGCTTTTGAGTCAGGGTCCCATCAAAATTCTTCACCAAAGTGCAATAAAATAAAATAAAA